CACATGGTAACAGTGGTTAGTGCAACCGGAGACCCATTTCGAGAGTCTGATATTGTGGTGCCTCTGGATCTTTCTGCGAATGAAAGGAAGAGTTTAGCAGACTTCCTAAAGTCCTTAGTCCTGTCCAAATAAAATGCGAGGGCTCTCCTAACAGCCAGCATATGCAGTATTGCCTCTCTATTGTCACAGGGAGGTTTTGGAAAACAGGCGGGGAAGTGAATTAGTTGGTTCATATGAAAGGATGAGGTTACCTTGGATAGGAGCGTGGGACGTGGCCTCAGGGTGACTTTGTCCTTAAAGAAGACCGTGAAAAGCGGGTGCGCCAACAACACTGCTATTTCCGCATCCGCCGTGCTGAGGTAATGGCCACAAGGAATGCTGTCTTCACGGACCGGTGTAGGAGGGAGCACGTGGCCAAGGTTCAAAGGGTGTTCTAGTTAAAGTTTTCAGAACCAAGCTGAGGTCCCACGTTGGAGTGGGTGATCTGACCTGTGGGAAGAGGTTTCTCACGCTCGTGAGGAATCTGCCTGTTGCTGGATGGGCGAATACTGACTGTCCGTCCACCTGATGGTGAAAAGCTGCTATGGCCACTGATGTACTTTAACTGCGAGCTAAGAGAGAGACCAGACCTTCTGAGACCTAGAACAGAATCTAGGATCAAAGGGAGGGAGGAAGATGTGGGAGCCACTTGTTTGGAATTGCACCAACTTTGGAAGCTGTGACCGGGTGCCCGGATGGGCCACTCTAAGAATTCCACACTCAGGGCAGACTGCAAGAAACAGGGCCCGTAATCCCCCAGAACGGGTGGTTTATTCTATAATAGAGCCACCAAACCAATATCAAACGAGCTTTTGTAGCACCACACTGGTTAACAAGAAGCCAAACACAGTCCCCTTTAAGCATTCCACTCCTTGGCTCCTATGTAGGCAAACAGGTCTAATCTAGTCTGCCTAATCTGCGTCCTTGGGGGGCATGTAATATTTTTTGTCTGCCCTCTTGCAGGTTGGTGCAGTAGAGGCGTGTCTGCCAGATGGCCTTGGCAGGGACTAAAAGTACCTCATTGACTGGGAGGGCAATTCTGGAAGAGGAAGAGGCGTGCAGTATGTCCACAATTTGTGGTGTGAGTCTTTCACTTCCTTGAAGGGAGTTTGCAGAGCCTCAGCCACCCTCTTGGAAAAGCTTAAAATCATCAGCTAATGATGGAGGAGGGGGCATCACCACCTCATCAGGTGAGGAGGAGATGTTCATCGGTGGAGTGGTTTTCACCTCTAGTCTGGCCTCCTGTTGCTTGACAGTTTCTTCCCAAGCCTCCGGGGCTCTGGATACAGAGGCCAGAGGGGATCGTCGGGTGGACTCTCTGTGGGGGATTCTAGATCCCCGAGAGGTGTGGGGCCCCCTAGGCTGCCCGTGGATCCCAGTAAGGCCACTGAGGGGGGAAGGGCATGGGTGGCACTACCCACAGGTGACCATACCAGGAAGATTGGGGATCTGAGCGTGGGTGCAGCTGTGTAGGTCTCAGATGCTGTAACGGAAGGTTGTGACGTAAGACCAGAGACAAGGGGTCCTCCTGGTCACGGTCTGAGTCCCCGCTGGAGTAGGGTGGGGCTGATAAGGGCGCTGGAGGTGAACGCCCCGGTGCCGATGGTGGTTCTGGGGACTGAGATGGGCTCGGTGCTGGAGCCTGGGGACTGAGTAGTGGGGACTCTGGTTCCTCCACTACCATAAGGTCCCTAGAGAAGCAGAACTCCGGTGGTACCACTGTGGTCGATGCTGTCAGGGACTGTTGTTGATGTTGACTCATTGGTAACGACGACCTTTTATGTGCGGCTCATTCCGACAGGAACTGCTTTGAAGTGCTCCATGCCAAGGATCTTTTTGTTGGCACCGATTTTGTAGAGACGGTACCGACAGTGGTGCCCGTTCCCCAGCCTGGGCCCCGTGGGTCCCAAGGCATATGGAGCTCTTGGTGCCACGCTTTGGAGTCATTGCTGCCGAAGTGACCGAACACACCAGGGATCCCCTTTGGCTGGTCTAGAGCTCGGTTTGAGGGCTTGCAGCCTTTTTTTCTAGAGACTTTGGAGGGGCAGTAAGCCGACTTTCTCTGCGGTTCTCCCTCTCTGGAGACGACCTTCATCCTGGAGAGGATTCGGGACCAGGGTCAGACGCCAGTTTAAGAGCACCCTCCACGGGGAGGAGTTTCAAGTTTTGTTGCCGGTTCTTTCGGGATCTAGCCTTCAGCTGCTGGCAGAAACTGCACTTCTGCGGAATACGTGCCTCTCCGAGAGACGCGGGACACAACAAGAGCGTCCGTCCATCACTGGCAATGCCTCCCTGCAGGAGAGGCACCTTTTAAAGCAGGGCAGGAAACGGTCATGCCCCTACTTAGGCGCCCACTTTTTGGATGCTCTGGGGCTGGAGCACCCACGGAAAAAAAAATTAGGTGCTCACACCCCCTGGCAGGCCCCACCTGTCAGCTCCTTCCCCTCCCCCCCAGCACCTCCTGTCCGCCGAGGATCAGCTGTTCAGCGGTGAGCAGGAGGCGCAGGGGACAAGGGGGAGGAGTGGGGGCAGGAAGAGGTAGAGCGAGGCGGGGGTAGAATGGAAAAGGCAGGATGGGGCATGGCCTAGGGGAAGGGGTGGAGTGGGGGCGGGGCCTGGGGCAGAGCAGGGTTCGAGCACCCCTCGGGAAATGGATCGACAGAGGATTTTCTTTTTTTTAAGAATCAAACAAATAAAATACCCTGCGGCTCTCTAAGCACTACGAATGCTAACAGAAATGCTAAGAACTAAAAACTGAAAACGACTTTTCCGTTCCCGGGCCAAGGGCGATGGAGAAGGAGCAGAGGGCGGTTTGCCTGCGCAGTGCTAGATGACCTTGAGGCAGACCACAAGCCGGAGAGGGCGCATGTGCGGCCGAACAGACACTGCTACTTAAATTCTCCAATTAGAGGCGCAGATACACCGACAGTGGAGCACCCAGAGGGACGCTAACTGAAGCAGCAGCAGCACTCACCTGTGCAAGGCTCCACAGGGATTTCTACTCTCTCTGAGTCCTGCTGATCCCGGACACATGGTTCTTCCCCTTGTTCAATACGGGCTAAGATGTCAGGCTTGGAAATGGCATAATCTATTTCAAAGACAAGAATGACAGCAGGGAACAGGACGTTACAAAGAATTGCGGATTTTCCAAAGAGCACAGAATGGTGGGAGCACGGCTCTTTTGAAAATCCGGCCCCGGTGGCAGGGGCTGAGCATTTAAAAATGTGGCTCTTAATCTCTCTGGGCCTCAATTCCCCATCCATAAAATGGTGCCGCTACTGCCCTGCCTTACAGGGGTTTGTGAGGATAAGGCACGTGGGTGCTACCTACAGCGACGGAGCGTGTATAAGAACCAAGAGAAGTCAGACGTGGACATCATCAATTTCTGTAAAGACGACTCGGGCCAGAGCAGATAAATGCAGTTATTATCCAGCGGGAGAAAGCACAGCACATGGAGAGCTCAGGCCACCACTGGGTAACTTTCACTCTCTCTTCCTAGGGGAGGATGCACAGAGTTGAACTTTCAGAAAATCTTCAAGAGCTACAAGTGCTGACCTAGCAAAATGCAGCGTAAGTGGAGGATAACTGGGAGCTGGATTCCAGCCCACGAACTGCGCACAACTTACCGCTTCTAACGAAGGAGGGAAAACGGATCCTTACCCAGCGAGATCAAAGTCTCATAATTCCCCTTCATCACGTTCTTGTAAAGCTCCTTCTGCCATTCATCTAAGCTCCCCCACTCCTGCTCGTTGAAATACACTGAGACGTCATCGAACGTCACCGGCACCTGAAATCACACGCGTTGCATGCTCGGTGCCTGCTGCTTTTGTACCATCCTGTTAACAGCTTCTGACACCTTTTATTAGTTATGAGACAAGGAGCACAAACACCCCCCAGCCCCATTGTCACCACCGGCAGTCACTATCCCTCTGGACAAGGCAAGGCAGCCTTTCTTCCGTCCCTGTACCTTACAAGGAATTCAGGACCTCCCCACCTCCAGGGGACCCTTGCACTGCTGATCCTTAAACCTTCATCCCTCTGCAGGCTGCTGACAAGCCTCCATCCCTGGGTATGTGCTGGGGCCACACACATCACCCATCCCTCTACCAGCCACTTCCTTCTTGAATTTGCACCTATAGTGCTGTGGCTCCTGGGGCATCCCAAAGTGGTCCCAAGAATTCACAGCACGGTGAATGAACAAGACCATCTAATAAATCTCTATTATATTTTGCTCGCATCCCTCTGCAGCTGGGACACTGTTA